AGAGTGATTTAATGAGTCGTGAAATGTGAGAGGGGTTTTATAACCTGTGGGAGGTATTCCTGAAAGCTTTGGGGAGTTTTCCCAAGGTTGTATGCTGTTGGAGTAGGCTTTTACATGGTAAAGATCTGCTGCTGCGTGCACATCATTAAGGTGTAATGCGATAATGTCAAAATTTCAGTGCAGCCAGTGCCACCCTCCCCAGTGCTGGGTCTTTTCTGCTTTGGCCAGCTCCAGCAGGTCCATCTGTCCTGCAGCTGGATCTCTGGTTCTGTGTCCACGCTGCAGAAGGGGATGGAAGTTGCAGAACCTGATATCTCATTTTCTCCAGGGCTGGGGGGGTTGAGGGGTTTGCTTGGGTACATCTCCAGCTCTGGTGTTCTCTGCTTCACCTGGCAGTTGGTGAATTTAGGAGGATTTCTTTTAAAAAAACTAAAAACCCCAAACTTTCTAGATCTCAAGCCCCAGGCGGTGTCTGCTACTGTTCCCTGCCTCCCTGCCTACATCCTCTACATGTGCATCAGACATGCGGATTATAGCAACGATGACCAGAAAGTGCACTCCTTGCTCACCTCCACCATCAACGGCATTAAGAAGGTTCTGAAGGTACGTGTCTGTATTCTTGTCTCAGGGTTGAGATGGTGTATGATGGTTAGAACCATGTCAAAGTGCGTGATATCCGGCTCCCATCGTGATTTTCAAACCCACTCACTTTCCCTTTTTAGAAGAACAAGGAGAATTATTATTATTTACAGGGAACAAATGGCTAATATTGCCCATCTGCAGAGACGCAGCTTCTTGATCTAGGTGGGGAAAGTCAAAATCACTTTGCCTTGCTATGCCAGCATCCCCCACCGAAGGGGGGTGGTCTCACATGTTTTAATTCTGCTCCTCCAGAAACACAACGATGATTTTGAGATTACATCGTTCTGGCTGGCGAATACGTGTCGCCTCCTGCACTGCTTAAAGCAGTACAGCGGAGATGCGGTAAGAAACTCATCGCGGATCTTGAATATTCTGGTGTTCCTCCAGGAGGGGTCTCCCATTCTTCTGGGTCTGGTGCCTTCCCTCCGGGGTTCATGAGCCATTGTACCAAGACAAGACATTTGAGAGCTGAAACCAAGCCCCTTACAACATAACACACAACAGAATATTTTGAATTTTGTAGCCCACCATGCACTCTGATTTGTCTGAACAGGGGATTTCTTTCTGGTAGGCTGTTTTCAAGGCTGTTTACCTGGTTTTAGTAGGTCCCACACCTTTTCAGTAACCAGGATTTTTTGACAGGGGAAAACTGTTCCAAATTTTGCAGTTGTATTCTGAATATATCTACTGATTTTTTTTTTTCCCTGTTTTGTTCAACTAGTTCAGAATAACCACACTTGGAGACACACTCATAATGTAAGATTTGGGAAGGAAATCCTCTCATTTCTTGCCACCTCCGTCATATTTCATAAGTTGAAATAAGTTTTATTATAGCCGATCCCTTCACACAAAATCAGATCATCACAATCCTCATAGTACATTACATGCTGCCATCCTCATGGACATAGGTTCTGGGTATTAAAATTTTCAACAGAGCCAAATTATGTCGTTTCTCATTTAGTCTTGATTTGTGTTAGATACATTGAGCAATCAAGCTTTAAGAATAAAGAAAAATATTTCATGGAATCAAATTAACAATTCAGATCATTCACAAGATATTAACTCATGTGTAAAACCTCACTGCTGGAATTCCAAGTTTTAAATTAAAAAGAAAAAGTAATTTAGATAATTCTTAGTAACAGTTACTCTTCTGTTTGTCCTCTCTTGTCTGGATAACAATGGTATATTTTAAAGAAAATCCTCCCCAGAAAACCAGCAAGGTTAAAAAATAAAAAGAAAAAAAAAAACCCCAAAACCAACCAACCAAACAAAACCGAAACGAAACTTAAATTTTACATTCTTTGCCATGATTTACTGTATTAAATGAAATATGCTGTTGGCAAATTCAGTTGATAATTTAGTGCAAAAAAACCCCCAAAAAAACAGAGGGGAAAAATCTAATTCTGAGCAGTTTCCAAAAAGCTGTTATCTTCAGTTTGAAATCCAACCTACTTTTAAGAAAACAAATTTAAAAGAAAATCCCAGGCTAAACACAATCTTGCCGTCCAAGGAACACGACATGTTTTCATTAGTCAGGAAAAACGAGAAATTCTGAAGCCAGCTCAGATTGTACATGTTGTATTTTTGCATTTTGCTAGTCAGCAAGCAAGAAAAAAATCTGCATAGTTCCCATTTTGATACCGAATTGATAAAACCATATGAACAGGCAATTAAAGAGTCTGTTAATTACAAAATTAAGTTAGATCCCATTTGCTTCTGCCAGCAAAACTGGCATTAATGTCTGAGCCCAGAATTCAGGGCTACAGCATCCATGCAGGGTCAGAGATCAGCTGCTTCTTCAGCAAAGGGCAGGGAATAAATTCAGTTACTTGGAGAGATTTCTGACCTTCAGATCAGTTGAAAATGTTGTTAAAGCACATAGCATGTCGTTATCTATTTTTTTTCCAATTTCTAATATCTTAAGCTTAAAATATTTGGTTTCCCAGAAATAATTGGAACTCATAAACAAATGACTAAAAAAAGTTTCTCAGGGACTGAAATGGGATCTTCTAGTTCATCTATATATTGCAATTAATACAAATGTTGCTCCTTGCTAAAAGTAAACTTAAAAACTTAAGTGCTTAATGATGCTTTTCTTCAAAAAGCTGCCCTCTAGTAATAATTTACGAACAAAAAGCCGAGTAAATCAAAGGTGATTTATGAGTCTTGATCTTTTCTATAATAGAGTAAAAATGTACTTTGGTAGCATATCTGGATATATGGTACTCAACGGTTGTTTGTTTTTAATACAGTGATTTTACTGGACTGTAAATATGTGGAATAATGAAACCAAGTATTTTAATCTCCTCCTGTTCAGGGTTTCATGACCCAAAACACGGCGAAGCAGAACGAGCACTGTCTGAAGAACTTTGACCTGACCGAGTACCGCCAGGTGCTGAGCCACCTCTCCATCCAGATCTACCAGCAGTTCATTAAGATAGCAGAGGGCATACTCCAACCCATGGTTGGTAAGTTCATGGCACATTAGCTTTTCAGAAGGATTTGGGGTTTTTTTGATGTAATTATCTACTCTGAGTGTTTTTCAGACCTTTGTACAGTGCTTGCATGACTTCTCTCCAAAAGAAAAGCCTGCGGTTGGTAGAGAGGCATATGTTACAAAAAAAAAAAGTTTTGTTTTGGAGCAGGGACTTGGAGTTTTTATTTTCCCCCATGATAGAAACTCCTAGGAATGAGGTTTGGGTTTTTTTCCCCCATGATAGAAGATACCTCTTTCCTTTCTGCTGGGGAGGTGAGGTAGTGCCGGTGGGTCCACAGAAACAGCGTTCCCCTCCGGACCGGGTTCATGGTTAAGCTTTTTAAGGGTGGAAATGTGCATTATGAGGGAGGAGAGGATTGGGAAGAGGAAAAAAGAAACTAATACAGACCTTGTTTGGCAAAGGTGAGTCAGTATGAAAAGAGTTACCTCCTCAGGGGCTGTTCTTAGTGCTTTATGTTTTCTAGCTGATGGTGTTTTCCTTTAGCTCTCAGCCTGCACTCATCTATACCTGGAA